CTTTTGTCAGAGTATTTTCTCATAACAAAAAGAGGAAAAGAAACTAAGGCAGCTATGTATGGTTTTGTGACTATCATCTAAAATACTACATTATAAAATGTGTTTGTCTCTATAAATAGACTTAGAAGTTTTAGAGTAAAAGCCATTAATGAGATAAAAGGCTGGTCTGGTAGTTGAGCTCAGTGACAAGAGATTAAACATTTTCAGCATCAAAACCAGTAAAGCTGAATGCTTTTTATAAAAATGATGCTCAAGAAACTTGCCTAAATTGCACATGCTATAATCAAAACGTAGCTTTTTGTTTTTATAAACCAGCTTTTGCGGCTCAACTTTGTTGCTTTTTTTTAAAGCAGAAATTTCTTTATCTCTGATTTTTTTTCATTCCTACTTAAGGTACTCATTACTTCTACCCATGACCAAACATAAATTTCATAGTTACTTTCCAAGTTTAAAAGTTCTATTCGTTTGGGACTGTAGAGATGGCTCAGTGGTCCAGAGCACTAGCTGCTCTTGCCAAGGAACCAGATTAGGTTCCCAGAACCCACATGGCGGCTAATCACCACTTGTAACTCCAGTTCTAGGGAACCAGACGTCCTCTTCTGGCCTCTATGGGCATTGCACACACAGGTACACTTACATACATGTAGGCAAAACACTCATACACATAAATTTTTTAAATTTTTAAAATTAAAAATTAAAAGTTCTATCAATTCTTATGACCATTAACATGTCATGTAACTAAAAACGGGTTCTCGATCGGCATTATTTTTTAAGTTGTTAGAATTCTGTTCCTAAGTACAAAAGTATATGGGGAGAAGCATCCTACCATGGACTAACACAAGCACTAGGAGCATTGCTGGATTGGGCAGATGAGCTGCTGAAGAGCACGCAGAGTCTCTGGTGGTTAGCAGGATTCAGACAGTCCACCTGAGGTACAAGGAATAGATGAACAACTGGAAGTCAGAATACACTGCTGTACCAGCTCACGCTTATGACATGTAATACATTCCATAGTTAGTAAAGCCTCCCATCATCTCTATAGGGTGACAGATTTAAAACTACAAAAAGCTAACTGTAAAGAAGAAGAGCAATTCATCTTTGCTCAAAGACAATCTCAAGTCTAAGTTAAAACTGTTATTTTTTACCTTGCCTCCATAATTTTTAAACATGTGAAAATTCTAAGCTTACATGAAGACTCAAGAGTGGTGTCTTACCTTTGATGACCATACTGCATCACTTGGAATCAATCCCTTCTCCTCATCACCTTCAGTTTTGTTTCCTGATTTACCACCCGATGTACATGATTCATCCTTTGAGTGCGCAAAAGGGTCTAAATGTTTTGACTGAATTCTTCCTCCTCTAGCTCGATAATCAGCCAGCATTCTACCTAAGCTCTGGCTATCACCCAGATGCTCAGCAATCCTAGTGCTCACTAGTTCATGTGAGGGCAAGACTTGAATAGACTTGGCCTGAACACTTCCATTCATGCCCTGAAGTCCAGAAAGATCCCTGAGCAGCTGTTTCTTCCTCCTGCTCTCCATTTCTTTCATCTCTTTATTGAGAAGAGGAGACCAGTAAATCTGCTCTGGAAAATAATCTCGAGTTGAGCACCTCATCCCCTTTTCAGTTAAAAGGAAAGGTTCTCGGAATGTGATGACTGGAGAGATACAGAGGATCACATCTTTTAATTCCTGTTTAAATGCCAAGGAGTAAGTCTTTCGTTTATCTTCAGAGGGTATGACTTCCTCAGTAACATACATTCCAGTATCATCCTGTAAAGGGTCTCTGAAGGCTCTCATCTGGATTTTGGAATCCTGTTGTTCATCTGTTTGCTGCAAAGTCTCTGGCTGTTCATTGACTACAGCATCCTGTTGGTCCACATGGAGGGATAACAATGATTCTGGTACGAATGCAAAGAAAGCACAGGGGATTCCTGCTGGGCAAGTTGGTGTGGCATGCTCTTGCTTCAAAGAGGCAACTGTCTGTGGAGCACTTTTATTTTCCTGCTCACTCTTCTCAAACACAATCCTTGATTCCAGCAAAGTACTATCATCAGAAGACAAAGACTCAGGAGGGCACTCTGGATCCTGAGGAAGGGAGCTACCACTGTACTGCTCCTGAGCAGCTCCCTCTTCTCCTCGCCCCTCAATCAGAGAATGGAATGAAGGGCTTTGCATTAATGTGGGAGGCATAGCAAACTCATCCATGAGAAAGGAAATTTCTAATTGAGAATGATAAGCTACACAGATCATAAATATTAGGATCTCCTTAACTCGAGCCAGTTCATAATCAGAGCCTCCTCTGAGCTTAATTGTACAGCCTAGGTGTTGTGGACAGCCTTCAAAAAACATCAGTGTTTTGGTTTGTTCTACAAATAAACAAAAGTTAAGAGACTTAGTTGACAATTCAGCTAGAATTCACTATCAACACAAACAAAAGAAAACCCTTATAGAAATAAGGCTATACTGGACTGCCCTCACTTAACAACTGCTAATAGATATTAATGCTTCTTACTAAGTAAACAATGCAACGCTTAGTTAGGAGTTGATTCATTGCCTGAGATCCCCAAGCTTCAGTGAACCTATGCTAAAGGTGACTCACCATTAGGAAGCTGAAATATCTGCATATAAAATTTGTGACAAGTGCCCAGGCGTGGTTTTGTGAGCAGCTGGTCCATAGACACCACTAAATCACCCTGGGTCATCCGACTGATTCGTTCTAAAACTTGCTACACACAGAAAAACAATATATTACAAAATTAGATATGAATTTTAAAAACTAGTAAATTTAACCTGGAAAAGCAAATGAAAAATTAAACCCAAATAATGTTCACAATGAATTTCCTTAATTTTAATAATTATGTGACATATTTTTAAAATTCCAGATTAGACTATGCTTACTTATTAAATAATCAACATGGGGCCACAGAAACAAACCTTGCTTATACTGTTAATAATATCAAAAGACAGACCGGGCATGGAGGTATACTTTTGTAATCCCAGCTCTTGAGAAGCAGAGGTAAGAGGATCAGTTTAAGTTTAGATCAGCCTAGTTTAAATAGCAAGTTCCAGACCACCCAGAGGTAAGTGAGACCTTCTCTTTTAAGATTTATTATTGTTATTTATATGAGTGTTTCACCTCCATGTACATATGTGCACCAAGTGCCTGCCTGTACCCTTAGAGGCCAGAAGAGGGAGTTCAGATCCCCTGGAACTGAAGTTAAAGAAGGTGCTAAGGCACCATGGGGATGCTGGGAACTGAACTGGGGATCTCTGAAAGAGCAACAAGAAATCTTAACCACTGAGCCATCTCCCAGTTCTTCAGACATCATGCATTAGCACAACTTCCTAGAAGTGGCCTCTATTCTGCAAAGAGTAGGTTTTTCAAGGAAAAGTGAAGGACCAACAAGTACTTGCTGGTGAGTTAATGCCCATTCCACCCACAATAAAAGTTACATAATCATCACACTTTCCTCCAGTGTGAGATTTTACAATCTTAAAAATGAAGCCAGGCAAGGTGGTGGGTGCCTTTAATTCCAGCATTCAGAAGGCTAAGGCATGCAAATTCTCTGTGAAATGGAGTCTAGCTGGGTCTACACTGCAAAATCCAGGCCAGCTGGGGCTATGGGAAAATTATATCTCAAAAAGGAAGGAAGGAAGGAAGGAAGGAAGGAAGGAAGGAAGGAA